TGGCCTGGGAAGGGGCTCCTCAGGCGAAGGCCGCCGCGTTGGTGCGAGGCCGAGCGTTTGCGGCTCAGCGGGGCGTAGGGAAGGGGAACGAGGCCGTGGGGCTTCCTGTAGCCTGCTGCCATCGCTCCCGGCGCTGAGGTGTAACCAGGTGTAAAAACAAGCTTGGGTGGCTAGAAATGCTAGTATGTCTCCTGCTTGCGTTGAGTGAATAGCAGGACGACTTCCGCAAGTCTACGTAAAATTTGTTTGCTTAGGTTTGTCATTATTTGGAAACTTTGTAAGTCGCTTCCTTACCTATTTATTTTAAGCCTCAAGGTACTAATTTGAGGTTGGTTTGAGGATAAAGACTGTCTAAGATTAAAACTGCTGCCTTTTCAGTAGTAAATGTGTTGAACTGAGTCAGCTGTGTGGAGACAAGCAGCTGTGTGTGTAATGTATTTCCTTAAGGGGTAGAGAACGGCTACACTGTGTTTCTCGGGCTGGACATCTTTCTTCCTATTTTTCAGAATTTCTGAAAGCTTGTCATCATTATTGTGGATTGTGATTTAGAATAATGTATCAGTATTGTCAGAAAGAAAAAGGAAGGAGAATGTAAAGACTTAAATGAAGCAGAACAAATTCCAACATGACTGAAAATTAGAGTTGAAACAAATTATTGCTTGTGTGACAGTGATGTGAAATTCATTTAAATCATATAGTCCTTCATTCTCTAAAATGCAGTTTGGATGCTAAATCTACCAGTATCCAGGTAACAGTTAAAGAAGGCGGTCTGAAGCTTATCCAAGTCCAAGATAACGGCTGTGGTATCAGAGTAAGTAACCCAAATTGACAACTGTGTGCTGATGTTTGATATTGCCACTTAAACTTTATTTCAATTTATAAATAAGTGTTTCTTATCTTGAAAAGACTTGGAAACAAAAAGTAACTTGGTATTTGCTTGTACCTTTCACATAGAAAGAAGATCTGGATATTGTATGTGAGAGGTTTACTACGAGTAAACTGCAAAAATTTGAAGACTTGGCTAGTATTTCTACATATGGTTTTAGGGGTGAGGTAAGCTCTTTGACAAGATTTTGAAACTGTTCACTGTTTGTTGTTATCCTGTTGTAATGGGATTTGCATAATATCTCATTCCCAGCATTCTTGACAGACAGTTTTGTTTGCTGAGAGTCTGTCTTAGCATTGGGTAAGGTAGGGAGGTATGTAGAGTTCAGAGAAAAGATAAGCGTGGAGCAGACGAATGAGCCACGAAGTATATTGCTCCCTGTTAGACTGAAATTGGGAGTTTTTTTTTTTTTTTTGAGAAACTGAAGAATAATAGTAGCAGTTGATTACCTGTCAATGCACTTGAACAGTGAGTGGGAGAGCTTTTAAAAAATAAAATAAAAGGTAGGTACAGAGCTGTTGTTAGGGAAGCCAAGTGGTTTATTGACCGTAGGGAAGAGCATGGTACGCAACTGAGCCAATGAGTTGCAATCTTGCCGTTGCTGTATCTGGGACTACTAAAATACATCTATTGCAACGTGATGCTTAAAAGTAGCTGGCAAAGTTGCCGCTAATGCTAGTGCTGTAGTCAGCAGCCATCTCCTAGACCATACTGTTGGAAAGTTCTTTTGTTAATGCTTTTACCACAGGGGTTGTTCTGTAGCAACGTACCACATAAGAAGAAAGAGGAAGTAACGTATTTTAAAACTGTATTTGTGATATTTATAGAATATGTTTTACCTCTTAGAGAACGGAAACAAAGCTAAGGAAACTTATGAAGTTATGTGGTATCTATGGACAAATCACATTACTAAATTCAGGTTTATTTGTTTTGTTACTGCATTTATATGTAAAAGCTTTCAATTACAATGTTTAATGCTTTGATATAGTCCTGGCACTAGAACATTTTTGTTATGACTGTCTTTGTGGTCTATCTTTTGTGTTGTTTGACTTACTCTGAGAATGTCCTGGGAAGTCAGACTTCCTTGTCTAGCTTAATGTGATCCACTCGACTCAGACAGCATGAGTTTAGATATATTCCAGAGGTGTACTTCCTCTTTGTTGACTGTATGCAAAACTTAATCTCTTTTTTTTTTTTTTTCAATTGTCTCTAATTTTTTGATCACCCCAGTACTTTGAAAATACCATATTCCAGGAGAATAATGAAATTGGTATTCTTAAAAAAGTGAGAAGCACATTTTGTGTTGCTTCTGTAATAAGTTATAAATAGTTCAAAATACATTTCTGTTCCTTTCAAGATGAGAAGGATGCCTGGGGAGAGGTGTATATCCTTTTTGCTTTCTGGAATATTAAGAAGTTATCCAAGTAAAACAAGGCCTATATTCTTGATTGTTCCTTCAGGAATCTACAGGTGAAAGATGAAGACAGATTAGGTGAATCTTTGATGACAGATATTTGTCTAAATACAATACTTAGAAATAAATGTTTGAAATACAGATGAATCTTTTTTGCTTTCCCTAAGGAGACAAATTTAATATCTCTGACTACATAGAACTCCAGATTCCCATAGGCTATATCTAAACCTGTCTGAAAGAACAGTCTGTGGTCAGCTCTGCTTTTCCATCCACAGAAACAGCTGGACATATAATGATGCCCAGTGTAGTCAGGTGTGTACATCCTTGCATGCTCCAGAGATCAGACTCTCCAGGAGTTCCCTGCTCACGCTCTTTCAGCTGATTGTCTCTGTAGCCAGTGAGTCTGGTCATGAGGCTGTGCTTACCGGTCTGTGTAGACCTGTACATTGACTTTTCCAAGAAAACCAAAGTAACAAGACCTAGCTTCCTAATATTGCATATAGTCAGAAGATGAACTTGGATAGGGCTTGAGAAGTAAACAGCAAAACCACACGGAAACCAGCAAAAACTATGCAAAACCAGCTGCCTTTTATTAACAGAAAAGAAAGAAAAGAGCACCACTGTAATATCTTTGCAAGCTCTCTTTTAGTTATATTATATTGTTAGCTGCTTGTATTGTCAGACAGAGTGAAATGCTGGAAAAGCCAAAAGAAGGTCCTGGATAACAGTCAGTATTGTAGGTATTGAAATTCATTTAAGCTTTGCCAACCCTCAGTTTTCCTATAGGATTTTTATTACTTCCTTGGAAATGGTGTATCAAAATGTAGTGATGCTGTTTGAAGTGTAGACACTCGTTCAGAAATTAACAGTTTCTTGTCAAGGCTCACTAAGATTCTTTTCCTTTTTCTAGGCACTGGCTAGCATAAGTCATATTGCCCATGTTACAGTAACTACCAAGACAGCTGATGCAAAATGCGCGTACAGGTACACTACTAACTTGTTATGTAACATTATATAAACAGATATATTTCTTTCTCTTTTGGGTGTTCTTAGTAACGTGGCTCTACATGAGACAGGGTAGAGAAGAGGGCAGCCTTTTCAGAGTAAGGGGGAAAACAGAGGGAATTCTCGGGATCCAGGGCAGTTGCAAAAAAGGCTTCAAAAGTGAGAAGACAATTGGAATGATTTTTATTCCAGACTGTAAAAGTAAGCTTTATCTAAAGCAATATATTTTAAGAGTGGGGGGGGGAAGTCTAAAAGGAATTCTACCTCAGCAGCCAATATAGGGTAAACTTTTGTCTTTTGTAAAATTGTAGAAAAAAAAAAAAAAAAAGATGTATGTACACAGTCGGTATTTCTTGCAAATTTCATGGGTCCTGAACATGGGATTTTTCATTGTAGTTTGATTTTTGTACACTGGGTGCCTAATCCTATGCAAAAAAAGATTTTGAATATTCTTCTGAAAAGTAACCCTTTCAATATAAGCAAAAACCTGTGTCTTAACTTCTCAACTCTTTTTACGGAAAAGAAGGAAAAAAGGTGAGCTTTGCGCCTTGAGTTGCACAAGGCTGTGTGACTGTGATCTTTCTTTCATTAAGTATGCAGGGGGCAAAAAGAAGCATGCTCTTCAAAATTATGCATCTGTATAACTTGCTAAAAGAATTACATGGGTCAAAAATCTTCTATGCTCAAAATGTTATGGGCCAAAAGGAAACAGGTCTCGTGTACAGCCACGAATTTCTAATTGGTGCAATTGAAATGTTAAGTCTAATGAAAGAATTATTTTCAGGTCTGGACAGGTCTAGCTGTTAATGAAAAAGAAGAAACCAAGAGTACTACTATTACAGGAAAAGTGTCAGTAATAGTAATACAGTTAAAACCACATTTTCTGTTATGTGCCTGTTTTGCTCTGCTGTTACTTTCACCTCCCTACTGTCCCTCTAGGCACTCCTGTCAGTGATGCCAGTTTTCATCATGCAAAAGCAGGGGAGTTGTAGCCAATTGTCAGTGTTCCAAGTTCTTTCCTGGGAGGAGTGTGAGGATGGTGGAGTTTCTTCGCCTTCCCCTGCTTTCCTCTTGTTTTTTTTTTCTGATTAGAGCTACTTACAGTGATGGAAAAATTAAAGCCCCTCCAAAACCTTGTGCTGGAAACCAAGGGACTCAGATCATGGTATGTTTGCATTTGTGATCTCTTGTCTCCCTCCTGCTCTCTGGTTTTTATGCTTACAGCACTTTTTAAGTGTTATGTCGCAAGGTGCGTGGCAGTCTCACTTTATAGATTATTTTCCAAATTACATTATTACATGTCTTTTTTTTCCCAAAGAGAGCAAGGTAAACTTCAGAAGATTCTCTCTCTTTCTCCTGGGGATAGTGCAGTGATATACCATCAGAAATATTTCGTAATGCATGTGGACTGTTGAAGCCTTAATGGATGGTTAGGGTTATAAGAACTAAGGAGCTCAGAGTATGGAGAACTGGTGTATATTATACGAGCCACAGTAGGAAGATGAGGGCTGGGATAGGAAACTGCTGTTCAGCTTTCAGTGGTATCATATGTCTAACAGGCTTTGCGTGTGGGTGGGAATGAGGATTGCTGTTAGGACTGTAAAGAATAAGGAGCTCAGAACAGGCAGGAGTGGGGCAAATTGCACGGTCCAGAGTGGAAAGTTGAAGTCTAGCATACACATATCTTCTGTTGGTCTTTCAGTGGGATTATATGCCTACAGACCTTAGCCCATGATCAGGATTAGACAAAGGGTTAGGAGACTGAAAAGGAGGGAACTCGGAATGGGAAGAAGTGTGCGTGTTGCGTGGTCCAGAGTGGAGAGTGGAAACCTGGCCTAGGAACGTGCAGGTAATGTGTTTGTCTTCCAGTGGGAGCGTACACGCACCAAGCTTAGCATATAAGTCAACCTTAGATCAAGGTTTAGGATAATGTAGCTTTAAAAAGTAGCTGGACTTTATATTTCTACCTTTCTGTTTTTATCAGAGAAAATAATTTGCATATTATGTAACTATTTAAATAAATAATGAAAATATTAATTTTTCGTTTTAAAAGTCTTGATTGCAGCAACTATCTGAATGATTATTTGTATTTTATTAAAACATAGTGTAATCGGAGAATCCACTGTCATCTGCAATGGAAGGAATATAACTTTTCATTTTTGAAAAATGAATACTTGTAGAGTTTTTTTTGTTGTTGAGAAAAATACGATACTGAGATACCAAAATATCTGAAAAACATACATGTCTCTAGAGTTGCATTTTCGTTAGGTGAACCTAAGCAGGTTAGGAATAAATTGAACATGGATGCTTCATTACTAAAAATGCTCTCAGAACAATTTTGTCAGCACTTATTAAGAAGATGGGTTTAGATGAATTACACAGTGACAGAAGATTAAAAAATTGAATTTGTAATTGTGATCTTTTTCTCTGCAGGTTGAAGATCTCTTTTATAATGTAAATACAAGGAGGAAAGCTTTAAAAAATGCAAGTGAAGAGTATGCAAAAATACTGGAAGTTGTTAGCAGGTGAACTGAAACAAGAGGCTCCCATTTTTTCTAATGCCAAGCAGAGCAATGGGACTTTGCAAGGGTGTATGCGGGCTTTTGTTTGTTTGTTTTTTTAAGTATTTGTTAGTGTATGGTATGAGATAACAGTGGAGTTAGATAAAGAAAATCCAGAGGAGAAACAGTGTAGTTGGTCTACTGCTGTTATTAGCAAGAATTCCAGCAAATAAAAGTCTTGTGATAGACCCTCAATGAACTCGGGCTGAAAAGAATCCAAAAGCCATGCAAAAACATTGAGATTTAGCTGAATATGAGTAAACTGAATGACAATTTCTCCTTCTCCCCCAAAAAATCACTTCAGCTGTGAGATGTGACATTGCCTTACTGGGCCACGGATTGAGACATATTTTGCCATGTGCAGAGACTTGCAAGCCCGATCTCCACAACCTAACCAAAAAACTTTACACTTTCAGTATACAAGAAAGATAGCAAAAAGTAACAAGACACTATGGTATGTATTAGCATACTCCCCCAGTAAGATTAACTTAAGAGTCTTCACTAAGCCAGGCAGGCACAGTCAGAAGGTAAAGGGTTGGCTTCTACTGCTCTGTGGATGGCAGATCTGCAGTCTTGCTGAGTGGCTGTCTTGCTGCTCACTTTTTTTTTTTTTCCATTACGATTTTACAATTTTACTTTTTTTTTTTTTTTAAATGTTGATTTTTCTTCTCTTTAATTCTGAGCTACTAACTGACCCTGTTGCAACAATGTAACCTTTGTCTGCATTGTCACCTTTCTACCTTGCATGCTCTACTGGTGTACTCTACTGGCATACTACTACTACTTTCTCATCCTGCAGACTACATAACCTAGTGATTTTTTCTGGCGGTCTGGACCAAAGTTGAGCGATTGTGCTGTATTGAAACTAGGCCTTGGATCACAGACAGCTGACCCTGAGGGGGAGGGGAGCTCAAAGGGGCAAGCTAGCCATTTTTCAGATCCTTCTGCATAGAAGTTGAGAGTAATCTGTTTTACTGAAGTTTAAAAAAACAAAAAAACAACTTATTCTTGTTAAGCCTGTGAAATGAAATTGAACTAACTAGATCTGTATGGGTTGGATTAAGTTTTTTTTTTTTTTTTTTCTGAGAAATAGCCTAAACCGATCCTTGAACGTTATAAGATTTCAGCTTAGTTATAAATAAGGAACTTAACAATTTTTTTGAAAGCTATTTAATCTACAAAAGCTCATTTCAGATAACCTATATTACTGTGTAATGAAATTGCCTATATTACTGGCTGCTTTTGAGCATTAAAAAAGGGAGAGTAACCTATTCTCTCACATATGGCACTCTTTTTGTCTTTGTCTCAGGTATGCCATCCATAACTCGGGCATCAGCTTTTCCGTTAAAAAGGTATGTAAAATGTTTCTAACTTCATCATCTTTATATGGAAGTGATGGAAAAGTTCTGTGTTGTCCTGCATCTTTTGCAGTAGTCTATAGAGCCTTCCCTTTTACTGAAATGTTGAAGTGTACTTTGCAGTTTGGATACAAAACACATTAGTTAAGTGTATGAGATAAAAGGCGATTGGCAGGAGTTTGGAGTTTTCCACCTTGCCAGTGTTTCATTTTGTTTTAGTTTGATGAGCTGTTTCAGTCTCTCTTGAAAGTCTCTGGTTACTAATGAACCTATGAAAGAAGGTGGGGCAGAGTACCTTTGGTCTGTCGCATTCTTGATATTTATTTACTGAAGTGCTTATGTTCCTCGCTTTCAAAGATGGGATATGTTCCTCGCTTTCAAAGATGGGATATTAGCCCAATGGACCATGCACCTGATGTGGTCCATCAATTACTGTATTTCTGTGCTGTTCACCATTAATTGTTTTTTCTGAACACAAACAGGTAAATAGTAAGTAGTTGTGCATTTTGGTTAGAAATACATATTGTTGTTTAATGTATTTCTGAACACTTCAGCCAGAACTGTAATAATCATTTCTGTTCTCTTCAGCAAGGTGATACTGTGTCAGATGTTAGAACATTATCAAATGCCTCAACAGTGGATAACATCAGGTCCATCTTTGGAAATGCTGTTAGCAGGTACGTTGACCATCAGTTTTCATTTTGGCATGATGTGTTCTGGTAACTTTCCTACCCCTTCTCTTATTAAAGAACACAGACTGTGCTAACTTTATATGTATTCCCTTTAAAATGAATTACAGAGAAGAAGAAATATTGCAGTAATAGAGAGCGCTCTCTTGCCTTGTAGAATATGTAGCTGCTTTTTTTTTTTCCTCCTTAATCAAAGGAAAGGGGGGAGTTGTGATGTAAATATCTGATCTTTCCTTTAATGCTCTGAAAGGGAACCATCTGCTTGTAATTTTCCATGGGCTAATTTAGAAAGAGCAGGCTAGGCCTGTGTTCTCTGCAAGTTCCTAGCCTCCTCCTACGTCATTAAAATCTTACCTCTTCTTACTACAGTCTGCTATTTCATAAATGTATAGGTCTTGTGGAATTAACTTTTCTGAAGTTTTAGTAGCTTTAGACAAAAGCTACATTAACTGAGACTGAATAAACCAGCAAGAAAAGCTGAAAGCAAACATGCATAACCCATCCTATTTCAAAAACTTTATCTGCAGTTTTAGGAAGAATTCTCTCTTTATAATTTCTTCAGCTGTGAAGAATTCATAGGACAGACTTATTGAATGAATTTTTCTGAGGGTCTCGCATGAATATTTAGGTGCCAGTTGAAACATAAACGAAATAAATGATGCTATATTTCTGCTTGTGAGTAGCATGACTGAAATTTTTTATCAACAAGAAAATTTTTTTTTCTGTTTATTTCTGTAAAACTGGCAATAGAGAACTGATAGAAGTGGGCTGTGAAGATGCAAGCTTGGCCTTTAAAATGAAGGGTTACATAACGAACGCAAACTACTCTGTGAAGAAATGTATATTTTTACTCTTCATAAACCGTAAGTTTAATAAAAGCATATTGTAGAGTTGAATGTTGCTTACATAATAATCAAAACAACAAAATCTGTTTCTAAAGGACTACAAAAACATTCTGAGTATGAACTGTCTTGAAAACGTTGAAGGGTAAATATTACAGTTCATTGTAGATGTTAAAAAAAAAAAAAAATTCTATTTGCAATGTGGATCATATTTCATGCTCTAAAATACCGGAGAGCAGCTGAGACTGGGCCTGAAGAAATTTAAACCTGTGGAGTGTCAAGGTTATGGTTGCAGCAAAATTGGCATGGGATGCAACAAACCATGACTGTACCAAATAATTAGAAGTAGTTTGGTTATTCCAATGTTAGCACGCTTTTGCAAAATGCTTCAAATTATAAAACAAATAATAAGAATTACCCTAAAATTATATTACCTGTTCCTGATTTTTATTTTAAGATGTCTAGGGGGAAAAAAGGGATGCAACTGATGCCTTTTGAAGATGCAGTGCATGAAGATTTTGGTCTAAAGGAGTAGTTAGACATTGTGCAGTGCATTTCAGTGGTTCAGTCTGAATGTAGTATTTTGCTCTTTGTTTCAGATCGACTGGTAGAGTCGACCGCTTTGCGGAAAGCCATAGAAACTGTCTATGCTGCTTATTTGCCAAAAAGTACACATCCATTCCTATACTTAAGGTAAAGTATTAGAAAGAGTTGGCCTTTTAATACTATCTTATAGAGTGTAGATAGAGTGAATAGGTCTAAAAAGCCATTAGTGTTCCTAATGGTAGTGTTAAGCATCACACTGAAGTAGTTTGTTGCCAAATACAAGATAATTCACTATATATTTTTAATATTATGGAGATCATCGCATTAAAAATCTGAAAAATCAGGCTTTCCTTTTTCAGAAGTAGTGAGCACCTATAATTTCAACTTAAATCCTTTGATATTGTGGGTTAGGAAAATGAGTTGCGCTAGGAGTAAAGCAGAACATTTAAGACCAGCCAGATCTTTTCTTCCAAACTGCCAACTCCTTTCCGTGCTAGGATTTATGTTGTGTTCTAGAGGAGCAAAAAATCATCATCTCCATTTTTACCTATTGTTGTTCTTGGTATAGTGGTGCAGCAAAAAGAAGTGAATTGCTATCGTACTGCTTACCGAAAGTAAATATTAAAAAAGTAGAAGAATAGCTAAAACTGAACAGTAATTGTCGTTGGACAATATAAAACAGAATGGAAGAACTCTACTTTATAATTATTAGGCAATTAAGTTTTGCCATTCACCTGTGAAAAATTTACTGAAATTTAGTGCTTTTGAGCAATAAAGTACTTGCACTGCAGCATTCAGCTGGATTCCTGCTTGGTATTACTGCTAAATGAAAGGGCCTCAGAGGTCGTTAACTCATGACACACTGTAAATAAAAGATATTTCTACAAACTGTTTTGTAGCAGTGCAATGGAGAACTTGTTTTAAGCTTACCTATGTTAACTGATTTTGATGAGTTTGCAATCAGATTCTTTTATTTATTTTAAATATACCAAGCAAATCTGACTGCAGCTTTCAGGACCGTTTTAGCTTGACTCATGGAGTCATGGCACCAGGTCTGATGAATGTTGCATTGAATGAGTGCCCTCTCTGCTATCCATGGGAAATTGTAGATTAAAATGTTCTTCTTTTAAAATGTTTTTGCAGCCTGGAAATAGCTCCTCAGAATGTAGATGTGAATGTGCATCCTACAAAACATGAAGTCCATTTTCTTCATGAGGATAGTATTCTCGAGCGTGTGCAGCAACATGTAGAGAGCAAGTTATTGGGCTCTAATTCTTCAAGGATGTACTTCACCCAGGTGAGAATACATGTCTCAAGTGAGCAGAATGCTGCACTATATTAACGCTGCTCATGTTTACTCTGTTCAATAGTACAGCCTAGGCAGTAATTGATAGTTATCAATATTATACTAGTAGCTTCAAATCTTTCCTCTATACTCAAGGGATAAAATTGCTTTAATGTGCCAGTGTTGATGACAAGGCAGTAAACTCACTGGGGGTGGGGGAGGGGGGGGAGAAGTGCATAAAAGTATTTTAGATACCATTCTGCAAGTATCTTTTCAGTCTTTTTGATTTTACAAATGTGTTACGCTTCACATGTGGTAAACTTTTTATTCTACCGTTCTTCTATGTAGAAGACCTTTTACTGGGGGAGTTGTTTTTCTATATATTTGACAGCTTGGATTTAATCTACCTGGAAAAAAATAAGGAGAAAAATTAATAACCTCTATGTATAGTATAAGAATTAAAAACCTTTAAGAACAAATTTCCTTGTGCTTGTTGACATTAAAGATTTTGTCTTTGAGACAATGCAACGTTTGTTAATGATTTCCTTAACTGCTAAGATGATGACATTTGTGCTATGCAGATAGCAAGCACAAAGGTGATGGCCTGTGTGAGCAGCTGACGTGGTGTCTGCGTGGTTTGAACGTTACCCACCTTTGAGCAGTGAGATGCTGCGAGAAGATGGCTGGTCTTTGATTTGTGCTCTCCGCTCTTATCTCTCTTCCATATCTGAATGAAGACGTTGCTTCCAGGGGCTGACTGTTCTTCCAATGAGGTTGTAAAATCAGCAGCAAACTCTGCTGCAGTTACCAAAGGAACCAGTGATAAAGTGTACGCACATCAGATGGTCCGCACTGATTCTAGAGAGCAAAAGCTGGATGCTTTTCTTCAGCCAGTGAACAACTCACTAAGCACAGGCCCTACAGCAGAGGACAGAGCGGTGACAGCAGAGGACAGAGCGGGACTTCCTGAGGGCACAGTCAGGCCACAGGATGCTGAAATGGAAGATGTCAGTGATGTAGCTGAAATGGCTGATGCGCAGAGGGATGCAATAACGGCTGGGGGCCTGAGTGAGCATAGGCACTTGTCTCCTGAAACAGCGCCTCCTCAGTAAGTCCCATCTCTGCTGAGTATGGACTATTACCTGTTCATTTCACGGCACTGCCAACAAAGAAATTAAACTTCACGTGTAAACCATACGTTGCTTAACTTGTGGTAAGTTCTGCAAGTGGCATAGGAGGTTCTGTGCATGTTGGAAGGACTAAATAATGATAATAACTTTAGTTTAGGGAGGTTATATTAGTCTATTTGTATTCAGAGGTCCCCCTTTTCTGTGGGAATAGGAAATATAACATTGAATTTTGCAGACAATACTCTATTAAATAAAGATAGAAGTGCTATAATCTTTTTTAGCTCTTGAAGAGAAATGTTATGAGAGGCCAGAGTCATGTGAGACAATCTGGCTTCTGTTTTTCCTAGTAGTGCAGGAAAAAAAAAACACCCTTAGAAATAACAAAATGTTGTGATATGTACTTTCAAACCTGGCTGGCTTGACGCTTAAGCAATAGACGCCTCTGCTGCAATCAGAAAGAAGGGAAAAAGTCTTAAATTCCCTTATGAACTACCATTTTCTAAGAAATTGTACCTGGGAAGTACAACAAAACAGTCTTTTCTTCTGAGAAGCTCTGGGAAACTTTCTGCATTTCCTTTGTTAGCGTAGAGCCCGTGAATTGACCATGCCATCTGCTGAGTGTGTGTTTTGCCTGAGCGATAAGAGAGTAGAACATACATTCTTTCTGTTTCCTTATTGCAGAAAGAGACCACGTGAAGACACTGACATAGAAATGGAGAAAGATGATACTAGAAGGGAAATGACTGCTGCCTGCACCCCTAGAAGAAGAATTATCAACTTGACCAGTGTATTGACTCTTCAGGAGGAAATTAGTAACCAGGCGCATGCTGGTAAGCAATTGTCTTGCTCCTCAAGAGTACTGTTACTCTGCCAGTTAAATATGTTTGCTCAGACTGCTGAGAGAAAACATTAAAAGGTGGCCACACCAGCCCGCTGCTGAAAGTGAGCTTTGAACAGAAAAGTGTGTTAAATGTCAAGGGCCATACTCTGAACAGGCAGCTACTAAGTGGTATGAGCTATACTGAAGGACCAGTTTTAAACTTCCATATACCTTGTTAGTAGACAGATGTTTTATATATTCTAAATAGTTTGCACAGTAGCTTGCATTGTAACTAATAACCCCTTAAAATCATAGCTTCAAGAGCTGAGTTATTTTGTAACTTTCAAACTGAAATGTCAGTTATGATACGTTCACTCTAAAAATTTTTGCTTAGCTGTGCGATTCTGAAATAGATTTATAAGAAAACTTAATAAAGGATCAGGCTTGATAATCATTTTTTCATTTACTACTTTTACTCATCGTTTTTGTTTGGATCTGTCTCGCTCTTATGAAAGGAGTTCACAAGTGACTGGTGAAATGTTCTTAGTTCTGGTAAGAGTTACTTTGCAGAAAGGTGTGCAATTCTTATTAGGGTTGTTTTCTCTTAGCTTTTTCAGTTGCCCTAAGAGTCATATGTGAGTCACATAATCCAGTATTTTTTACTTAGACTAAATGTTGGGAATCATGTTCTGGATTCTTTTTTCTTGAATTTATTTTGATTTTTATGGTAGCTCGAATGGGGGAATCTCCACAGTTAAAATGGCTAGACTAACAGGGCTCTGTAATAATTAACTTTGATTTTAGTATTTAAACAGTGATAGTCAGATAAGGAATCATGAGTGCAAAATTATCAGCCTACTGTGAGATATTTCCAGGGGCACATATAAATCACCAGCACCAGTACATGCTTTCTGACGATCAAGATTTTTAGTAATTTTTTTTTTAAAGTTAGTTAATACAGAGTTATACCTGTGCTTTAAAATTTCCAAAAACGTCCTAAGGTAGCTGGTAGAATTTGTGCAGCTCTTTGAGGTTTTGTCTTATCTTCCCATGTGTGAGAAATATCTAGAAGTGACCTTTGTAAGAAAGAAATATACTTCTAACCATATTGTATTTCTTTGGAAAATGTAACATTGAAATTTGGGCAGCATAGTGCTTTGTACATGATGTGATTGGAACCAAAGCCCTGTAACAAAGACATGTCAGAGGACCATAACTAGTTACATTGTTTTGTGGACTGGCTAAAATTGACTCTCAATATGGAATCTAACTTCTCAAATGATTTCCTTTATAAATGAGAAGACCAGAAGTTTATTTTCGGAAAGCAAATTATGGACCTAATCAGCCACTTTTCCAAAATTTAGTTTGATAATACTAGACTTTGTTGAAAGGTTGTTCTAAATCTGCAGTTTTCTTTTAAGTTTGTCTGTACTCCCGTACTAATCTCTCACCAGAAACTGCTCTAGAAAGTCATGCTATTCAAGTCAAATACAGAGATTTTTATAAATTTGCGTTTGTAGTTTAACTGTTGCATAACCTTTCTCACTTATGCTTTAATGTATGCAAGTATATGCATATGCACACAAATGATTGAGATTTCAAAACATATACTGATAGTTGGTAGTACAGGCCTATTTTAGAAGCAGGGGTGTAGTAGTGACTGAACCATAGTCTGAGACTTTCACGTTAATAAGACACATTGCAAACCAGTCAGCCAACATCTGGCCAGGGTTGATGCTGGAGTTGGAAAATTTTTTTTTATTTTTACTTTTTTAATTGTTTCAGGTCTTCAGGAGATGCTACATGATCACTCATTTGTTGGCTGTGTCAGTCCTCAGTGGGCTCTGGCACAATATCAGACAAAACTGTATCTTCTCAATACAACAAAACTCAGGTAAAGAAGCTATTTGACTTGCTGGCAGTTGAAATAATGACTCATTGTCAAGCTAATTAGAAGGGAGAAGGAGATGACAGAAAAACAATAACACTTTTTTGTCATCTGTGCAAAAAATCATGAGGCTAAGAATTAAGCTATCAGTTCAGAAAAGTGGAAACAGGACTGGCATGCTTGTGAAAAGTTGCAGAGCATTAGCGTTATCAAAATGCCGGCTACTGTATTGTGTGCCCACAAACTGGGGTAACAATTTAACGTGCTTCATGCTCGTCTATGGCAGTAATTTGTCTATGGCAGACAGTACAAACATGAGCAAGCAGAGGCTCAGAAATATATCCACATGGGTTTACACAGTCTGCAGGACATAAGGACAACACAATAGGCCCAATCCTCAAAACTGCACCAGTTATAAAGTATCAGTTTCCAAGCTCCAGTGCGTTTCTTGCAATGCAGCAAAGGAGTAAAGAGGTTTAAACATGGCCTACCTGGGAATAAATTGACAGTGGCAGCATGCTAGAGTATATAATGCTTCTGCACGGATGTGGGTCAGAAACCAACAGGTTTAATTGCATGCCTGTAGCTGCAAGTTTAGGGTTTGCATGAGAATCTTAAACTGTTTGTTTAGTTAAAGTAAGATCTTTGTTAATATGAATGGACATCTCTGACGTTCCCAAGATGACCCTTAATTTTCTCCTTCTTAAATATGTACCTAGATGTGGCCATGCCCATGTAACTAACTTTTGTTCTTCAATTCAGCCAAGAACTCTTCTACCAGATACTTATTTATGACTTTGCAAACTTTGGCGTCTTAAGGTTGTCTGTGAGTATCAAGACTGTTTTTTTCAGATTAATTTATAGGTTGTTTTTGTCAACTGCAGGACTGATTTTTATTTTATTTTTTTCGTTTCTTTTAGGCTAGTACAAGGTAGCAAATTCTGTTAGTAATTTTGTAACTACTGCTGTGAGTTATGATGCTGGCTCCTTGTTATTAGCCTCATTTCTGGCTATTCAAGTTTCATTATTTCCTATTGTACTAGGACAAATAGTAAATTTGAATACATAACCTATCCTCATCAGAAATATACTGTAAAATTCTACTGCTTATTTTGTAAATATCAAGCACTTAGCTGAATCATGGACTCTACAGAATCCTATCAGTAAGAAATTAATACTTTAGACTGGCTAGGATAAGTAGAACTGCAGAGAAAGTTGTCAGGCCAGAAAGCATATATTACAATTAGATTATACATGAAAGGAGAAGATCTAGATTTTAACAGGTGGTGTCTGCCAAAACAACAGTTTTTCCTCCTCTACTTCTAGGAGCCAGCTCCTTTATTTGAGCTTGCAATGCTTGCTTTAGAGGACCCTGAAAGTGGCTGGACAGAAGAAGATGGCCCAAAGGAAGGGCTAGCTGAGTACATTGTTGAGTTTCTGAAAAAGAAGACTGAAATGCTGAAAGATTATTTCTCTCTTGAAATTGATGAGGTGACTGCTGCTATTACCTCTGACAGTAAACCACATTAGATGTTGATAATAGAAAACTGCACTAGTTTGCTTGCTTCGGAAATAATCCTGAGCTGGTGGAGTACCATTAGTAAGAACCAACTCCAGTAAAAGATTTAGGAAGCTGTTCCCTTTCATTCAAAATGCTCAGGGCTCATGCTGATTTTGGAAGGTGGCTACCCAGTTGTTTATATTTAAATAGTCATTGAATAAAATACTTTGTTCACTGCTCTAGTAAGTAGAATCCAGATCTCCTATCCAAGGTGTGTAACTTAACACCTATATACCCATATATATATGTGTGTGTGTGTGTGTGTGTGTATATATATATATATATACACACACACACACAGCTCTCTCTATATGGGTGTATATATAGAGTTACATATACACATACCTATATGTATGTATATACTCCAGCTATATATACCATTGCTGTTACTGTCCTTTGTTTTGTTTTGTTTTCCCCTCCCCTCCCCCAATGCATCCTTTTTTAATACAAAACAGAACAAGTGTCTTATTTCTCAAAAATCTCAGTTGACTCAGATATTCTCCTAGGGAGTGGAGTTGAGTGTTTAGTGTCTTGAGGTAGAGAAGAAAGCTGAATTCAGGTCTTCCTGACCTGGGTGGTCTAAATCCAGGCCTCATAAGTTTAAAAACAACAACCACAACCACCACCCCCACCACAAAAAAATAACCAAACCAAAAAACCCCCAAACCTCTCCCAATTACAAATTTGTAATTTCAGATACCATTAAGGATCACTAAGTTTGGATAAAAGTACAAGAATCAGTTTTATAATAGATGAGTTTTTATCCATCTACTATAAAAAATGAAATAAAATAAAATTCTTTCTAACTGAAACAGCAGTGTTGCATTACAGGAAGGAAACCTGATGGGATTACCACTTCTGATAGACAACTATGTTCCCCCACTGGAAGGGCTACCTATGTTTATCCTTCGCTTGGCCACAGAGGTATGTTTTCTTAATAAACATTGAGTGAGTTTGTTCACAAGTACCTTTTTCATTTAGGAAAGAATGAAGTGATTCAAATAAATTAACTTACTTATTAATTGAAGTTGTATGAGGGAAGGCTGGAACTAGTTTAAATGTACTGTTACATACTTAATCCTTTGCTGTGGTTACTTATTAGTTATGCTTTTGCCTGTACAGTCTTGAGTGCTAACTAAATGAGAACAAATGCTCACTTTTACTTAAAAGGCTTCATTTCTACCCATCATCTTTCTGTGCCTTTACATTACCAGCAAAAAAATGGCCAACACACCCACTATTATGAGTTTTTTCATATTAAGAATTTTTATCAAGTCTCTTAACTGCTGCCCAGATTCCACTTAATAGTTTTTCTTTATTGTAACAGGTAAACTGGGATGAAGAAAAGGAATGTTTTGAAAGCCTAAGTAAAGAATTGGCCATGTTCTACTCCATTAGAAAGCAATATATAATAGATGAAGCCAGCCTGACAAACTCACAGGTACAAGACTATGTAACTAGTCATATGAACAAACAACTAATTTAACAACTCATGGGGATTTTTTTCCCCTCAACTATAGACTTCTAGTTCCAACTCTTTCAGTGAAGTGAATCAAATGGCAGGGCAGAAGGATTGTGAAAGAATGTGGCTTAAATTATCTGAAGCATTGTATATAGTGAGAGAACCTTGTAATATTGTGTACTGTAGTGTTTGTAGAACTACGGTAGCCCTTGGCTGCTTAGAGTTTGGGGTATGTTTTTAACCTGCTGAGCTAGGATACATTTCTATAGAATAAAGATGCACACAGTTTGCTTATGTCCAAGTATCTATCTATCTGTTTGTTTAATTGTTCAGTGACGTTAACCAATTCTGCAAGTGATACCACTAAAATAGAGTTTCCAGAGCTTCAACTTGACTGTATAGAACAACCCCTTTCTCTAATACTAGAAGAACTTGTACAATCTCTGTAGACTCTCATAATAAAGTTTCTTAAGAACTGTTCTCCTTTTCTAAAAGAAAATGAGTTGTCCATCCTTTTTTTTTCCTCCTGTATTTCAGAATGAAGAGTCTGACTCTGGTTCACCAACATGGAAGTGGACTGTGGAACACATAGTTTACAAAGCTTTTAGGACTCATCTTTTGCCTCCTAAGCACCTCACAGAAGATGGCAATGTTCTGCAGCTTGCTAACCTCCCTGACCTGTATAAAGTTTTTGAGAGATGTTGAGCAGGTAGACAGACTTGTGTATATGTAAAAAGCACTCATTTTATATTCTGTTTATTTAGTAAAGGATAAGACTGGATTCTCAACTGTGAAAAAGAGATTTAGTATCATACTAACTTGACAGTAGACAAATGGTACATTTTTCTTCTATTGATTAAAGAGTAAAAAAAAAATTATTTTAGCTATGTCTAAACCCAGCTGCATTGCCTAAGCTGAAAAATAAAATTGTGTTCAGTCTAAATATTAAACTGCCACTGAAGGAAATGAATCAGGTTAAGTGATCTTAAAAAGAGATAGGGCTTTAGCTTAATTGGAATTTTATTACTCTAACTCAGCTTACAACAGTCATTCTTAAAAAAAAAAAAAACAAGTACAGGTATGACTACCTGCAATGTGAGCATACATGCAAGGCACTTGAATTATTTTCTATTACAGGGCTAGTGGTTGTTGTATTTCAGACCCCCCTGCATTTCAAAATGATCCCATTCACCAAAGGATTCCAAAAATGGAAACAGGACTCCTATGACAGATAACAAGTGACTGACTGACTGACTTATATGTATGCACAAGATAATGCATTTCAGAGATCAGTTGCAGATGACAACTGACTGCTGGCTCCAGGGTCAGAGGAAGACATTAGTCTTGCCAGGAAGAAAAAAAAAAACAACACTTGAGCTTCAACTTCACCCCTGACCTTTCCTGAGGCTGTACAGAAATCCTGGAATATCACAGACTTGACTTGTCACAAGAACGCTCTTAGAGAAAAACATCAATCAATCAGGGGCATGTTCCAGCCTTAGCTGGGTGGTTAAGAGGAAGTGATCTAGAAGTAGACCTTCCTGGTTGCTACTGACTATGCAGAGTTTAACAGAATAGAAAGTGGTCTATGTGATCACCAACCTACAGTTCTCTTCTATTTAAATAGGTAAGTAGGCCTACACCCTGCAGGTGCTTTGCAGTAGGGTAAAATTTTTCCCCCCCCCTAGGTTTAAGGGGCATCTAAACAGAACACGAGAGAGAGAACGCGCTTTAATTTTGCGCTATAAAGACAGCTTTTCCTTTAGAAAGCAGCTCTAATACAAGCAAAAGCACTAAGAGCCTGAAACCTGCCTTGCTTTGAGAAAAATGTCTGAAGGGAGATTTGCAACAGGAAAGCATCTGATACCAGTCCTAAGGACTTTGATCAAGTGGTGGGCCCTTACAGGCCTGAAGCAAAGTATAACACAGGAGTAGCTCCACTTCAGATGGTTCAGAACTGTAATGGTGCTGCAGGTTTCCCACTTGTGATGTGCCAGCTTGAAAGAAAGGGACTTAACAGCATTTAGTGTCTGTAGAAAGTAGACTACAGAGAGAAAACAACTATAGTAAAGAGATCAAAAAAGCTACTTCTTCAGAATATGAAGATCAGAATTTAGTGTTCTCTGGGGACTTTGTTGTATCCTGTTGGTAACTCAGTATTTTAAAAGAAAACACATGCACTTCTCCAGTCAGTAAAGTGCCCATTTAATGAACTCCTTAGCCACATTTCCCACCCCGCTTCCTCCCACCCTAAAACTTCAATTCACACTTAAGCAGCAGATGACATACAATTTAATAGTGTACAACACAAGTTTTTAAATCTGTACTCTTATACCAAGAGTATCTGGGGCTAGTATTTGACAAAGTTACCTAGAATTCAGATGTGCCCATGCAAAAAAGCAGATTTTTTTTTAAATATACAGTCCCTATTTATTTTCTTATAAATTTAAATATTTTACAAAAAATGCATTTTCAAAATGTATAAAGTTTAGTGAATACCCCATATGTATCTTAAAATAAAATGTTATCTGATTCCAAAGGTTATTTCAACAGTCTAGCATCATTGAAGTCTAAATTGCACCATAGAAAAGGCACTTGTGCTGTGTGATGTCTTCAGCAAATACAGTTTTTAGTTTATAATACAGTATTACAGTGTCTTTGAATTCATGCAGTTGTCTCCAAGCATCAAGCATCATTAAAGCAGCCAAAAGAGATCGTGAGTAAACTTGATTCCACAGTTGTGAAAACATTTTCTATCACTAAGTCAATCATACAGCATTGTGCTCCAGCTCTGACTCTAGAATCAAACGCTACAGAAAAACTGTTGTCGTTCACATGGGAATTCAAACTACATTTCATTCTCTCATAAGTTACAAAAAAGTATGCCATTTAATCATGAAACTAAAATACCACTGAACAGCTCACTGTTCAAATAGTTTGTGCCAATGAAAGTCTGTATTTAAAAACAAGCTAGGGGCTAGTTATTCAAGGAGTAGTGCACAGTATTTTTTATTTCCACTTCACTGCTGAGATAAAAGCGCAGTCCTGTTTGCCTTCATCTTCTCCAGCCTTTTCATTAAGTGGCTGTTGGTCATCTCCATCTCTTCAATCTTATCCAGTGCTGTTCTTAACTATAAAATGAAAGCAAAAGTTATAATCACTTTAAGCTTAATTGGACTTTCTGCTGTTCATAAGCCTTGACAGAGGAAATCAAACCCGGAATATAATACAAGTATTATATTCTTTACAAAAGCGCCACAACTTGAGATAAGACACTCGGGCCATATGTTTACTGCAGTCAAGTGAACTTGTTAAAAAAAAAATTGGGAAGCAATTTAAACAGGAATGATGCGTACTTACTCCAAAACAGCTAGGTGCCTGCAGCTTCCTATTACATGCTATTAAAAGCAAAGACCTCTTTACCATCGTTACTCGTCAACGGATATCTATTCTAGTGGGTAACAGGCATCATGCCAGTCATGCAGCAGCTCCTGAGCAAGCATAATTGGCAGCACAGTTAAGTACAGCTTTCCAGCTCCCCGTGAAGTGCATATGTTGGAAACTCCCCGAGCTGACACTTGATATAGGGAGTAATTTTTATGAAAGGATTAGATCAAAATAATACAAGTCATCACAATTAGAAGGAAATATAACTTTAGATCCTTCCTTTCAAGGAAATACTGTATTGAATTGTAATCAGTACTTCTGTGTGCTATAGTTGTCTTCTGAAGGCAACACTGAGGCACTTAGAGGCCGTTTCAAGACGCTTTAAAAGCTGTAACAGAACATAACAGAAAAGGAGAGCTTGGAGACAAAAGACAACTGTTAAAAGACTGAAAGCTGCATGCAACTCTGAAAAGGAAATGGAGCCACTTACCTCTCGCTGAAGCTTCCTCTTTTCAGCTTTGAGTTCATCTTCCACTTTTTCTGCATTTTCTGCTGCATTTTTATATCTTGCAACCTGTCCCTCAAGTCGTCCAATCTGCAAACCCAAATAAGACAAAAGGAACAATTACTATTGTGTAACAAGAGTGTTTCACTCTGAGCTCACCTGCCACCAGCTGTTCTTCCCTTTCCTAAAAGGCACTGTACCACAAGGTATCCTCTGATTTATCCATAGAACCTTCCTCAGGAAGGACGAGATTAAGATGTGTTAGCAGCAACCATGATTGCAAAGAGAGGGTTTCAAAGAGCTAGAAGATGTTCAAACAGCAAAATAAATTGACAGCAGAAACTTGCAGTGTCCTTCACTGCCTGGTGAGGTGGCAGGAAACAGTAAAGAATGGCACAGAATACAGGAAAGAGCAGAGAAGACAGGGAAAGCTAAGACAACTAAGCAGAGAGGAAATGAACAGAAAACCAAGAACTGGGGAAAATATGGGATGAAAAACAAAAGGTGGAAAGTCAAAAAGCAGAGACTGTGAGAAAAGGCACAGAGCAGAAAGGAGACAGCAACTGTATCTGGACATGATGCAAGATGTCTTGAGCTCAGGCACAGTTCTGCAGTACGGAGAGCACTTGAGACAAAGCACGGCTGGGATTTGCTAGTGTTAAGCCCACTTGCTGGGTTGTTTTGTGTCTCATCCCCTTGCCTCACAAATCCACAGGTCAGGTTAGTGCCTTGCTGTGCAAGGCAAATAAAAGTGACTGTGTAGCTCTGATTCAAATCTTTTAAGTGATTAAGTCATCTACAGAGTTGCTGAACTATAATCCCATTTGTCCCAAGTACTGATTTGCAGGCAAAAAAGAAACAAATACCAATGCAGTGCTGCTCTGTATAAATTACAGAACAAACAATAAATCAAATTATGAAATATGTTTTCATGTATTTATTGAGAAAAGTCTTGTAAAAGTCTGCAGAGCAAGTGTAATTTGTGATGATACAGATAAACCTAAAGAAAGATAATACTTACATTTTGTTCCAAGGTAGTTATGTCTTGTTCAGCTTTTGAAAGCTTAAATTTGTATTCACTAATTTGTCTGTTGGCATCTCCTAGACAAAAATTGACATGAGTACATTGCTCAATGCAACTCTCTCAACAAGCACCTTTCATTTAAGTTAAAAATCCATTAAAAAGGTTATTTTAATCAGAAACCTATAGTCAGGACTATTAAGAGGTAAACGTTCTTTCAGAAGTCTTCCTTGAGAGTAAGGAAAGGAAAAAGTTTTCCTACTACATAGGGAACACAACAATTACCATTACTGTAAGAGACTGCATTGAATTGCAGATGCATAAATCCAGATACACACCTTTTAAAATATGCACATTTATATCTGTATGATTCTTCTTTTTGAGAAGAGTTATCAACACAGGAACCAACACATTGCAAATTGCGTCAAATATCAATAGAAAAAATGTCAGTGTTTTGTGTAGACATCTGGAAAAGCATCTGAACGATAAGGAACACAAGGCTTGAACCTGCTTGACAAGAAGATTCTAAGGAAGCTTCGTAATTATTTTAATGTTACTGTTCAGCGCTGACACTGCCAGCGCTGCGTTCAAGCTAACTGCAACAAGCTTATTAAATGACAATCTGTCAAATGAGAAACACTTTCCACTGAAGAAGTAGCTTGCTCGAAGTAGAAAGTAGCTTAGTGCTTGTATGAAGCAACACTGAATAATGTGTTAAGTTTTAACAATTTTGGAGGATTTGCTTCAGAGAGTGGTAAACTCTTAGATTAAATTTGTATTTCAAAGATTCAACAAGATTAAAAAAACAAGTTGAAAATATTGAAAAATATTCAACTGGAATTCTATCATCTGAAAAACTGGAAGTGTTAAAGTATTTTCAATTAAGTATTTTCAATTTTCAAGTATTGGCACCCATGCTAGGCAAGGCTGCCAACTAAAAAAATAACTTCCTAGAATGTTATTCAAAACTGAAAGAAACAGATTTTTTTTGAAGTTATTCTACAGTGAGAAATTTCCTGAAGAGACTTAGCAACAAACCTAGTTGCTCAATGATCTATTCATTCATAATACTACTATTTCACAACTATATAGGAAAGATAGCAAGAAGAGCCTGCTTCCCCTCTTCCCAGAAGAAAAATACCTGTGAACAGTAACCATGTACCTACTCTGCATTTCAAATAGCTGCAAGTCAGAACCATTTTCTAAGCCAGTTATATCGGGATTTGTGCCATCACTTTTAGAATATTTCTGTCGTTCTTCTTCCAACTGCAACTTCAGTTTTCTAACCTGAAACAAAAGCGTTCTCTTGTGAAAAATCAACTCCCAGAAGTTCACCCATCATATATCTAAAAATTCAATGGGCCGAAAAGGTAAAGCAGTCATGAGACGCTGCTGGCTGAGAGGGTTCAGTAGCTGGGAGCAGCAGGGCCATGCAGGGAGGCCTGTGGCTGCAGCCCTACTGTCCCCACTGCTGGGCAAGGCCCTTCAGCCTGGCAACACACTGCCCAAACCCACCACTTTGGCCAGCGCTGCAGGGGCCTCAGTGCAACACAAGGGCACCCCATAACCCTAACAGCGCTGCCTTGCCAGCAGGAGGCTCAAACAAAGGACTCGGGCTCTCTGTATGGAGTTATTCCAAAGTGTGCCTTTTATACTCCAAACCTTTATGAAGATTAGCAACAATATCCTATCAAGTTTACAGAAAAAATAATCCACAGCTTTTTGGAGGTCCTCTCTTTTGCTCCACCTGGAAAAGTAATGGTTCTGGACAAGTCTGTGGAATTATGCTAGTCCTCAACTGTTCTGCTTTATGCTACAGCAGCTGTCTCAGGATTTTTTCCAGTAGTCACAGATCACTGGTTCCTATGTCCTCAGCTATGTCCTCTATAGCTGGAGTTCATGAAGGTAGCTGGAATTGCTTGACTCTCTTATCAATATATCATTCTACAGATCAATAGTATGGGAGTTATATTTGCAAAACTCCTGTTTTTGATATCAAATCTCGTAACAAACATTCTTATGATTATATGGCATAAAAGGTCCATTAAAAAGACACACACACAAAAATACACAAAAAGTATTTAATAGTCATGATTCAAACTAGAACTTATTTGGAATTCAGCAAATACTAAAATTAAAGGTGCATTCCCAACAAAAACACATGTTGACAACATCATATTAATTTTTTGCTGCTTTTAACTAGAAGCACAGAAATTATGCTATTCTTAACAAAAGCCTGCTGCACATTTGTTTTCTTGAGCCCTCTCTTCTCAACACTAAACTGCATTAAAATACAACTGCTTTGATAATACTAATTTTCCATCTGAGTCCCTGAAATGATCAAAGGAATGTTAGCATTTTGGAAGAAAGAGCCTCTTAAGGTTGTGAGAATGTCATTTTACTGAACTTAATATTGTGGCTTAGAACGAAAAGAAAAGAAAGAAAAACTTGAAGTACATGTAATAAACTGTTTCTGCTGTGACAGCAATTTTTTTCTTTGGCAGCAAAAGAAAAGCAGAGGCAAGAGCAAGTGAGATTTCAGCTAACCGGGTTCTGAAATGGGGTTTCTTTACCAACCCAAATCAAAGTCACATTGATAAAGGACACTTATTGAGCTGGTAATTCCTGGTAGTCAGCCAAGCTGGAAGCTGAATATTTTGTTTTATTTTACGTTAGTGCTTAAATATTTGAGCACCTTGGTACTTAATGGTTATTGTTAGCCTATTAGTATTTGCTGGGAGACAAGCTGTTTTTAAAAAAAAAAAAGAAAGAAAAAAAGAAGAAATACATTTGCATATCTTCTTTTACAGAATTTTTGAAGAGAACAGCTCGGTTTTTTACCTGGGACAATAAGTCCTCCTTTTCTCCAGCCAGTTTTCGTAGCCGGACATCTAAAACCAAAGAACCCAATTAAAAAAATCAGAGAAATCTGTAAGTAAAAATGTATTTCTCATAATTTTGTTAATTAATTAACAGTACTACATTTTTCAAACTTAAAGTTAATAGCATGAGGAGAATAAAACACCTTGATATCTTAACTAATAATAACAATTAATAACATCAGCCTTCAGTTAATAGCAGAAAAAAGGGAAAATACTTAATTCACTGTTTATTAGTGGAACTTTAGTGTAATTTTTCTTTTTAAAGTTGTATACACTTCTCCCTATGCTTTATTCTTAAAGACTGCTATCTCTTTGGGGAAGGCACTAAGCTTTCCCTTATGTTTGCAAAAACTTTCATTATTTGTGTTCTCAAACCACAAAAAAGCACTTGGGAAAGGGCCCAAAGCAATGTTTCATTTCTCAAATCATCCAGAAGACCAATAATGGCTACAAAATACTCTTAGACAACTCGATGCTGAGATTAGAGCAGTTCACTTGAAAATTACTACTTTGAGGTTAACAAAGCATAACGACATGATTTGTACTTTGCTATGTTATGTGCAGATATATGCAAGTTAATAGGGATGTTTCCTTGCATGTTAACTAATACAATTTTGCAGTGAATTGTCTGATAACTTGTTCAACCTAAGGATAAAAAAAAAAAAGTTAAAATAAAAGCCCTCCATATCCCATTTCTTTCTGTTATCCATGTCATGTGTTTTGATTTTTAAAAGTATTGTAGGTTTTTCTAAAAAATGCAATGAAAAGTTCAAGGAAAGGCAAAGACTACTCAAGACACTGTTCTGCAGCAGAACTTCTTTCACTGATTAAACATACTTTTAAAGATAACAAGAAACACAATGGAAAACATATTAATAAAAAAAATAAATCCTACACTTGTAGGCTATTCTTACATATTTTCCCAACAGTAAGAAAGAGGCTTACTCAGTTTACAAACATCCTGGCATATCCCATTATATTTAGTTAAAATAAATATATGTCTGTTTACTCAATGTAAAAAAAAAAAAAAAGAAAGAAAGAAAAAGAAAAAGACGTCTTCAGAGTAGGGTAGCATTTGCATCACAGATTGCAAAAGCATCACAGGTGTCTTTCTGTGTCTGTAAGCCACAACTTAATGTGAACAGAAGGCAAACAAACTTCATAAAGTTTACTCAATGTAAAAAAAAAAAAAAAAGAAAGAAAGAAAAAGAAAAAGACGTCTTCAGAGTAGGGTAGCATTTGCATCACAGATTGCAAAAGCATCACAGGTGTCTTTCTGTGTCTGTAAGCCACAACTTAATGTGAACAGAAGGCAAACAAACTTCATAAACTCTTTAAATTATTGTAGGATATTTTTACCTAGTGGTCCTTCTCCAGCAGATTCCAAGACTTGAGCAGCTTCCTGTGATACAACTGTTATTGCACCAACCACTGATTCATGGTTTACATCACCATTTGGTGTGCCATCTGGAATTATAACTAATCCATGTTTCTAAAAATACAAAAGAAATAATGTACTCGTACAAGAGCAGCACTAAAGAACTTTTCTGTCTAGTTTTATTTAAAAGGCTTTTCAAGTTGATAGAGTTACACCAAAATGCTCCATTTAACCTACACTCAGGTCAGGTTTTGAGGCTGTGTAAGAGTAGTAACAATTCTTCCTCTTTTACATTGACTTTGATTTCATCCCCATGCCTGGATTTCTGTTACTGTAAGCAGCTACTACTGACATACCTCTCCTCTCTTCATTGTTTCCTTCAGGTCAGCCAACTCCTCTCTGAGCTCATCTCGCTCATTCTTAATGCGGTCAAAGTAATCTTTCTGTCTTTCTAGGGCCTGGGTTCAGGCAGATAGCAAGAAAAAGAATGGCACAGAGAAAAAGCATATAACAGATAGCAGAGAGATTTTCTACAAAAAAAATACAAAGAGTTGAATAAAAGTAAAGAAATCAGAAGGGGTATTTAGTCTATTAATACATATACATCTCTAATAGCTACCTTTTACAAGGAGTCGCCTATCTAGCCTCATTGCTACATACTTCTTGTGACATGATCTTTTTTGGGTCTTAGTAGATGCTACAGCAGATATGTTTAGTGGGTTCTTTTTTGGTAGATTCTGATTAAGTAACCTGAACACCAAAAGAGTAAATAATTATTCTTATTTCTGGCTATAGAGTGGCTACATTAAATTTTGCTAGATCTCAATTGGCAAAGATCCTAAAGCATCACATCCATTAAACAGATTTTTTTTTTTTACAGGACACAAAGTGGGAATCATACCTCCTAAAAGAACCCGAATATATAAGCCTGTCATCCAATTATAAAAACTAGTTTATTTACTACTTGCTTAAGTATTATAGCCACTCTGTAATAAAGCCAATCATTTTTAGAGGAAAAAAGCACCAAACCTCAACAGCACTATCTTAGCACAAGAAACGATCTCAGCTGAAAGGATCTCAGCTAAAAGCACAGTATGGACACAGATGGGTTTGCACGCCTATACTGCAGCTGTTCTACCTGGGAGTTAATCAGACATTTTTACCTGATTAGCCAGCATCCCAGTATTTCAGTCAAATTTTGTACTGCATGCATTAAAAATAATCCTGACTAAACAGCAACTGCAGAAATGTACACGCATATTTTGCCAAGAAAATTAACATTTCATCATGCATGCATGTTTAGGAATAGACTGATACCAAGAAAGAAACGAAGGTGAATTACTCTGTATTGTAATTGCCCCACATAGTTATTAAAATTCAACATACTGCAATTGTTATCTAAAATGTATATATACTTGAGCAATTTTTAATGCATTATTCTGTTAATTTCAGAGAATTAAAATGTGCAGTTGCACATTTCAACATGTGATTGTAATTCAACATGTGAAAAAGCATTAGTTGTCACCTCATAGTTAAAGAACATAAGATGTCCTTTTATTTCCTAACACATATTAGCTCTCTAGAACTATGTTGTAAGCAGTGTGAAACACCTTAGTCATTATATGATTTTGTGTTCCACTTAAAGACATGACTTTACTTTTTTGTTTCCCCGCTATCCTTCAAAAATAACAATCGCATCCACTTCATAGACTGAACCCAGAGACCCAGAATTACACTGCAGATGCAGATCCTATATATGTTTGGCAGTGCCCTGTGATGTTGATGACCTTCCCACAACATACCTTCTATCCTCCCCCTGCACACAAGCATTGGAAACCAGAAAATTTTGGTAGAGGAAATGAAACTAGTATAACCACATATATCTACCTACACAGAGGTTAATAGTAATTATTCAAAGTTGAAAAACGAAGTTGAAAACAAGTTTTTGTATGCTTGGGGTTATTATTCATGACATGGTTTTTGGAGTAAATGTACTTGCAAGAGCAATTGCAAGAATTGCAAGAACAATTCTTTTATTGAGGAAAAAGATATTTAACAGGGCAACTAAACTCTGCAAATGTGTTTTAAATCGCACCAGCCTGATTAAAATCTGATCATTCGGCAAAAAGCAGATTTGTCTGGAGTCCTGCTTACTAAGTATTCAAAAAACCTTTGTCTCAATATCTATATCAAACTCAGTTATGCCAGGCATGTACCATCTGGAGCCATTAAAGAGCAAAACAGTTGTATATTTCAGGAATCCTCTAGCCTGAAAGTTACAGTCCAAGGTCCCAAGACTGACCTATCTCATTTTAGACTGAATCCAATTGCAAATTTCAAATCACCTTGTGGAAATAGGACAATACAAGGAGGAAAGTGTAAAGCTGAAATTCATGCCATCTCTGTTCAGCTTACCTCCCTTCCTTGTCAATTCTGAGTTAGCATCAGCCTTGCATACAATATTTTAAAATTAGGTTACAATTTTAGTTATCTACTCTTTTGTGAAGCTTCTCAGAGGCTTCTGAAGTTGGAACAGTCAAAATTAGCAAGACTACTCAGGATGGAGGAGAAACACTCAAAAACTGCAAGCTAAGAAAAAGATGAAAATGTTTTTAATTAAGAGAAAAAGACGACAGACAGCAAACAATATTCCAATTTAAGAGCCAAACAATTTGGAGAAGGTTCAAAAAATAAAAGCTAGAAAAGACTCATTTATCATGACATTTACAAATGCATAGAGAATGAGAAGAAAATTTTGGCTTCCATCTTAGTGACTGTCCATGGACTCAATCTGGCTAGCAGCTAGTACTTTGTACATTAGGCATCTGATAGGCTTTGTACGGTGAAGTATTTGAAAGAGCAAAAATGACCACTTAGACTGGCACAGTGCAGTACACAAAGGTAATAAGGGTGGAAGGAAAAGGGTAAATAAATTAAAGATAAATAACCTTCCAGAAGAACATTCAGGGAAAGGAACTTTAAAAAATTGCCATATTATTTATGACAGAAGAAAGGATCAAAATGTATAGTGAAGGAGAACTGAAACATGAAATAAATATGGACTGAAGGAGGACAGTATCACAGGGCACTTTTTGCAGGACCACCAGTTAATTGTAGGAAGAAACTTTCCTCTTGTTCTAATTTTTCAAAGAGATTTGAACTCCAGCGAATAGAGCTATTTTCAAAGAAATCTGAGTACGTCAAAATCCTGGTATAGAATTCATTTAGTTAGATAGAAATGACCCTAGAGTTACTAAAAGACAGACACTTCATTTCTAAAGACTTTCCAGTTAACACCCTGTTACCATCAGGCAATTTAGTTGTGACCCAGAACAGCCACAACTTCGGGGTACTGTGATTACTGCCCAGGGTCAGGCCAACTCTGAAACAGTTCTGTCCCTTTCGCACTACCCAGAACCAAAGCTGGCAAGCCTTGCCTGACCTCAACCAGCTGTGTAACTGCCAGTGGCAGTTCTTCCAGCACCACCTTTCTTTCTCCACAGGGAGTCCGACAGCCACTCCTGAAAAGGTCTGTCACAACTGGTGTGTCCATTCAACCTACCAACTCCAACCCGGTCTAAGCTGCCTCCTGCAGAGTCACCCAAGATGCACACACTTCGTTCTTCAGTGCTCCAGGGCTAGTGAGGTCTCGGTAACTCAGACTTAGCACAAAATGAGCGTGCAGTGTCAGCCTGGTTCAGATAACCAGCCCTCCAAGGATCAGGAGAGCTGTATAGAAATGCCCAAGTGACTACAGGAGTTGGTTCAAATCTGGTTGTACTTTTCAGCACAAGGCATGCCAAATGCAAGCAGGCTCTACAAATATCTATTGAGGATTCTCTGCAATGTGATCCTTAGCTCCTGCAGCTTTCCAGGTTCTTCATTAGCTGGGGTACTTTGTCTCTCTCTTATCCTAGCAAATGGAAACGTGACCACTTAAAAAGTTTTGAAAATTATATTCGTCTGTATGCAGATTAAAAGCTTTAACAATCATTTCAATCTTATATAAAATAATATTAATACTCTATTAATATATGGACCTAAACAATTTTTACATTTGTTAGGATTAAGGAAACAATGACTTTTTAAAGCCCCCATTAGAGGTAAAAATTTTCTTTGCAGAAAGTAATAAGACCTGTATGCGTAACAACCTTTCATGTTATAGATTTAATTAGTACTATTCATCATTATGCACGTAAAGTGGAGCTCATTTCTTTCTTTCTTTCTCTAAAGGGGAGAAAGATTGCAAAGTGTTTTAAATGTTTAAAATGGAAGTGGCTTTCATTTCTTTGGTATACATGGTATTCCTTGGAGAGAAAAAAGTAGTACCAGTCTACTTCTAAATTGAAAAAAATACCTTTCCCCCCCCATATTCATTTCATACCCCTATTTTTTTATCTTTCCAATTAATTGTCTCCCGGAGATCAAACATCTCTTTGGTTATGCAGTCTATATTCTGCTGCATTCGCTGGTTCTCCTGTAGCAAATAGGATGGAGGAAGAATAAAAGAGGAAAAAGAAAGACAGGTAAAGAAATGGGAAAGAATATCTGAACAGATAAAGGAAATTAAAAGTCAACCAAAGAGTTTATGAGCATGACATTTAAAGAAAAAGGATGGGACCCAGTGTAACATGGAATTTTCCCTTCACATTCATGCAGAAGGGTAACTAATTTTATCTAATCAGTTAATATTGATAGGAAAATTTAGCTACAGCTAGAACTATTTTCCTTTAGTAACAGAGGTCCCATTGCAAACAGGGAATAACATCCTTTCTTTAGGAAACCAATTACCTTGTGATTCCCCCTCCCCACCCCCGTCCCCGACCTCCCCAAGATTCTGCTGTTTAGAAAACAAACAGAAACAATCTTGTTCATGGAATAAAGACTGAAGTAGAGCAAGGCATACATACACATATAAATGGCTTTCACATTCATCTGCATAAGCTATTGAAATTCCTTAGAAAGTTCATTGCCACAGAATCAACAATCTTTAATTTTACATTACAGTGTTAATGCAAGGAACTTAAATAATCGATTTCTAGTCAGTAGCCTTCCTTAAATTTGTCTACCAGCAACGTCAAAAATATAAACAAACATCTTCTAGTGATCAAATAAAATTAAAGCTATCTTTTAGCCAATAAATCTAGAATTATAAATATTTGCAAGACACTGTTAACAAAAACTAAGAATAAAACATTGGAGCAGAAAATAGGTTCGTTTTGACTACATTTTGTTTGAGACGCTGTGAACAGTGCAACCAGACCAGTTGGCTGTTTGATATGCCCAAAAAGCCCAAAACAAAACACATACAAAAAACAGCCAATACACCCCACAGAATGACTGCTGCTGAGGAGTACATTGCTTGTATGATGTATTCTTTATCTAGGGCGCTTTCAAAGCATCACAACTCCAGGCAACAGTAGAACAAGTTATTAGCAGTTCATACACAATTTTGAATAGTCAAGTTGCAATATTCAACATTGTTTAGCAAAGAAATTGATAATAGCAAGCACACAGGTCACATTAATAAGAACATATGAATTAATGCAGAATTTTCATTTATCAGTTGATACTGAAGTTTTATTAAACAAGGATAGTAATAATATAAGACCTTACTTATACTGCACATTTATGTCCAGGGAATTACCAAATACTGTAGAAGTTGCGAATATTAAAAACAAAAAGTGCTAGTAAAAGTGCTTTTTGCAGGGTTTAAAACTTGTGTTGACAAACAGTTTTATTAACGTCTTCTACAAAACAAAACCTTCTTGCAAGTATAAAGAAGGAAGAAGTTTGCATCAAGCATCCAGAAAGTGAAACATGCCTAATGACCGCTTTCAGAAATCATATTAATGCATGTTAAACACAGTCCTATTTTTTGTCTAAAACTTCATTTTGCCCTTTGCCCTGCAAATACAATTAAAATTCTTTGTTATGTTCATACAATTATGCATTAAGATGACATGAGAATTTTTAGGGCTAATTTTTTGCCCTCCCAAAAAATGAACTTAATTTTACAGCTAAGAGTGGAAAAGGATGTCTTTGTTAATAATCATTCTCCTAAATGGCTTCAGCTGGGTTATGTGTTAGTGCTAACATTTGGAAAAGTTACCCAGATAAATTTGGGTACATTTGAAGGGGCTGCATAACTTAATGACTATTCAACATCCATGCGGTGTGCTACCAAAGTAAACACTCTTTGTAGTAGTAAAAACACTAAAAATAGACAAATCTATCCAACACTAAAAATAGACAAATCTATCCAAAAAAACCCCAAAACCAAAGAACCCTACTTACAACTGAAGAAGCTTCTTTCCTGACAATGAAGTCAAAGAGAATCCAGAGCAAGTGACAGAGCTTCAACTAGAACATGCGGAAGTTTTTTGCTTGCCAGCACATCAGTCTACTTAGGCTGATCTTAAGCCTTTTCTTCTGCTAGTAAAGCACACCAACTCCAGTTCATACCCCTGATCATTCTCTCAGTCACAATAACAGCTCTGAGACTTTTCAAAAAATTTTTGAGTTCACTCTGCTACTGCTTGGATAGCACAAGAACTTGGTGTGGAAAAGAAGTCAACCAATAAAGTGCAGCATTGCACAGCTTTTGAAAAATCGTGCAATAGAATCTTCGGCCCATATGCTCCAAGTTATCCATAAACTGAATTTCTACTGAAATGAAAAGGTAATGGGAAAATGAAGTACTACGTGAGCTGCGACTTACAGTACTAAAAGCAAAATCAGTGGGAAGTGGACACCAAAATACTGTTGAGAGTATAAACCTTTGCAGATCATTTTAAAATTAAGATTGAGATGAGCTCTAAGATTCTCAGTCACATTGGTTTATTTGCAGAAGGGAAGGAGAGAGAAAAAAACAAAACAAAACCACTAGTAACATAGTTATGAACAGTAACTAACCACTGCTGCTACATTTGTGCTTGACTGCAAAGCAAATAAACATTAACTATTGCAAACTTCAGTGGCTGATGCTCACAAAAATCTGAAACAACTCAAATGCAAATATTTTGGGAAAGACAAAGAAAAATAGTTGGTACTATCAATGCATCAGAACTTCCAGCTAGGCCTTAGGAGATTTTTTGGGCGTAGAGGCATTAGTTCTGTCCTCAAAGAGGGAAAAATAAAGGGCAAAAAGAGGGAAAGAAATAAAATAATAAAAAGAGGGAAAAAAATAAAGTTGATGAGAGAACAGGTTTCTTGCATGAATTAAGGACTGTACAATATGTAATACACTTTTGAAAGTCTTGCAGTGACATTTTTAACTTCTTAAGAAGATGAATAGCTTAGATTCTTCTCACTAAAACAAGAACAATTCTTGCTTAAAAAGTCCAAGCTGATATCGCAGTTCATTCTGTGTATAGGAAGACTGTACCTATGTAAATCTTACACCATTTTTCTTTGCACAAGTTCTATCATACACTGTCTTATATGAACGTACCTCTATCAATTCATCTCTCTGCCGAAGGCCCTCTTTAAGTTCATCAAGTTTATGCTGGAGAACACTGCACGTGTGTTTCTGTCTTTCCAACTCCTATATTAAATAAATGTCAAAAGCCATAATTTATTTTGAGTTTGACACAAACCCAATTAAAAAAAGGTAAGGTATTGCTTAACATTACCTAAGGAACTACTGCGACAATTTTAGCCATTAGATAGTTTGAATTTCTTAAATTCACGCATTCTGTGTTTAAGTTCTCTAGACACTTACTATATGGAAGATTTTATTCAGTAATATTTAGAGAGGGAAAAAAGGAAAAGATGCCATAAAGGTTTAAGCTCAAAATTAATGAGAGAAGCTCAGCCTCTCTCCTCCTTTCAGGTTCAAAATTGAATTTGAAGTGTTTTTGTATATAATTTGCCTAAATAATGTTGGAAAAAGCTGCCAAATTGATTTTTCACTTCCAAGAAAGCGTAAATGATTGAATAAATCCTATTAAACAGGAAGTTCCATCTTTAGTGTTTTGAATTAAAGAACTTCTCAGTTTAAAAAACAAAACAAAAACAAAATATTCCAGTACTTACAAGAGTTTTAGCCACTAAGATAGACACGCTTTTCTTACAATACAAAGGTTTTTGGACGGTTTCTTACTAAGTAGTACAAGCTTCTATAGCGTATCTCTATAATTAGGAAAAAAAATCCTCAAAAAGCAGTACCTTTGACTTCTCTTCATTCTCCCTATAGAACTCTGCTATTTGTTCTTCTTTCTCCTCAATGACATCCTTTAAAATATCCACTTGGTAAACCAAGTTGTTTTTCTCATTGTCTAGTTGAGCGTTGGAAACCATAGCTTTCTTGTACTTCTCTTCAACTTCAGCTAGAGAATCCTACAGGGAGTAGGAAGGCTCACGTTAGTCTAACTTATTGATGAATCGCTATGAAGTTATCATACCATTATAACATTGAAGAGTGTTATCTGTTATACAGTAAAATGATGCAACCATCCTTGTTTCTGAACTATTATTCATGTCTTGTCTTTAGAGAAAGTCACAGTCAATTTCCACTATTCAGGTTATGCTATACCCAGCAATGAAAAGTTACTGTAGCAAATGCATGAAAATAACAAAATAATATTCCATCTGTATTTTCTACTCTGACATCTTCATAACTTTAACAACTCACAGGAACAAAGAAGTAATATTACAGCTTTACTGCCTTTTCAATGCATGCATGAGAAAACACTTCAGAATGCAGCAACAAATCTGACATAAAGAGAACTCGGACAATTAAACAAATGACAAAAAGGATGACAGAAATATCTCTAGGAGTAGTTTTAACACAATTCTTATTACTTGAATATAGTTCTGCACCTCAGGTTCCAAGTTTTAAGGTAGTCATATCCTTTTTTCAATAATAAGGATTACAAACTCTGTTTAAGTAGACTTTTTGGCTTTCTATTTCATAGTAAGATAATGCTTTCTACATATTCCTCCCCCATCCCCACCCCAAATAAAAATTTTCAAATGGCAGAATTTATAAAAAAAGCATATTAGCATTATAAGAAATAAAAATACATAATCAAGATTCACTTATTTTATTTCTCCACCTGCAGGTACAATATGCCTTGCTAATCCCACTTTGCTAATTCTATCATCTCTTGCATTTACCAAAGCAATTTTATCCTATTTTTTTTCCCCCCCGCACTGTAGCAAATGTCAGCAATTCCAATATTGGAGCAACTGTTACTCCATGCACTTTTAAATATGTAATGACTGCAACATGCACTATTTTCAAAATAACAAAAAT